AAGTAAATGCCAAAGACTAAGCCTTTGCATTGCGATTTTACTGAAAATAAAGCTAATGATTGAATATAAAGATTCAAGACATTCTCACCAAATACAAGTGAATTAAATCTCAGCACAAGTCTACGGGCAAGAAAACAAAATAAGAATATTGAATCGCAATAGCAATACAACACGAGAAGACGTTCCAGAGATACTAACAATCAAAGCTGAGACAGATATAAGACATAGGTTATCCCTACAAGAAAACTAAATGCCGAAGACTAAGCGTTTGCATTGCGATTTTACTGACCATAAAGCTAATACAAACGAGTTAAATCCCAGCACAAAGATAACTCAAAGTCTACAAGGCAAGACAACAAAATAAGAATAATGAATCGCAATAGAAATACAACATGAGAAGACAGATATAAGAGATATGTTTTCCAAACAAGAAAACTATATGGCAAAGAAAGAAACGACATAAAGAGGATAGTGCTCTGCGAGGAAAAATTAGAAGAGCGTAATAGAAACTAAAGGACACGAGGAGAATCATCAAGAAATGAAAAGAATATTGACATATGGATGTGTTATATACAAGAATGGTTTTAATTATTCAAGAATAAGTAAATCATCACATAGAGCGTAACGAAGGATTAAAGTACAATGGAACATGGACAATTGCTTTTGTATATTGGAGCTTTATTTACAACTTGAAGCTGGAAAGGAATCCTCACAATTTTGGCTAAACTGCTATAGATAACATGCTCGTCTTAATTAGCAGATAGAAAAAGCTTTACAGAAGGATGAAGAGCTTATCAGAAGAAAGGACAAAAATAGTGCATGTTTGACATTGCCTGTTAGGTTTTATAATTACTATTTTGTTATATATAACCGTACGTCCTGTGTCCCAAGTGCAGGAGTCACCATTGCACTGTGGTGATAGCCGGAGAGTACGTTGTATATACACCTTGCATATATATATATATATATATATATAGAGTGTATAAAAACTTTTGTCTTTACTGTACCAAGCTTGTTTAAATTCGCATGCATGTTTAGTCTGTGCGGTTTCGAGTTCTTTAGTTTCTGTCCAGTGAAGTGTGAATATACACACTAACATTGTACTGTCTTGCACGAAAATACTGTAAAATACAGGCAAACAAGGTTTGAAAATATTTTGCAAACTGAACATCAAGATCGGAAATAAAAGTTTGTCCCAGCAACCAACAAATGAAGCAGTAGTCTTTCAGGAAGGTCACAGATAGATATATACCGCTTTGAATATAAGAACATATATATAGCCAAATTGACCAACAATAACGAAACCCAAATTAGCCTACAAAGCAAAACAACAAAACGCAAAGCACCCAAACAAAACCATCAATAATACGTAGTACCGACGAAACAAGCCTTATAAAGCCTTTTCATGTATTCAATTGTATATGGATATAATGATATATAAATCCCAGCGTAAGGATAACTCAAAGTCTACGAAGCAAGACAACAAAATAAAAATAATGAAGCGAATTAGCAATACAACTACAACATGACAAGATATTCCAGAGATACTAACAATCAAAGCTGAGACAGATATAAGAGCTAGGTTATCCCAACAAGAAAAGTAAATGCCAAAGACTAAGCCTTTGCATTGCGATTTTACTGAAAATAAAGATAATTATCGAATATAAAGATTCAAGACACATTCTCACCAAATACAAGTGAATTAAATCTCAGCACAAGTCTACGGAGCAAGAAAACAAAATAAAAATATTGAATCGCAATAGCAATACAACACGAGAAGACGTTCCAGAGATACTAACAATCAAAGCTGAGACAGATATAAGACATAGGTTATCCCTACAAGAAAACTAAATGCCGAAGACTAAGCGTTTGCATTGCGATTTTACTGACCATAAAGCTAATACAAACGAATTAAATCCCAGCACAAAGATAACTCAAAGTCTACAAGGCAAGACAACAAAATAAGAATAATGAATCGCAATAGAAATACAACATGAGAAGACAGATATAAGAGATATGTTTTCCAAACAAGAAAACTATATGGCAAAGAAAGAAACGACATAAAGAGGATAGTGCTCTGCGAGGAAAAATTAGAAGAGCGTAATAGAAACTAAAGGACACGAGGAGAATCATCAAGAAATGAAAAGAATATTGACATATGGATGTGTTATATACAAGAATGGTTTTAATTATTCAAGAATAAGTAAATCATCACATAGAGCGTAACGAAGGATTAAAGTACAATGGAACATGGACAATTGCTTTTGTATATTGGAGCTTTATTTACAACTTGAAGCTGGAAAGGAATCCTCACAATTTTGGCTAAACTGCTATAGATAACATGCTCGTCTTAATTAGCAGATAGAAAAAGCTTTACAGAAGGATGAAGAGCTTATCAGAAGAAAGGACAAAAATAGTGCATGTTTGACATTGCCTGTTAGGTTTTATAATTACTATTTTGTTATATATAACCGTACGTCCTGTGTCCCAAGTGCAGGAGTCACCATTGCACTGTGGTGATAGCCGGAGAGTACGTTGTATATACACCTTGCATATATATATATATATATATATATAGGAGTGTATAAAACTTTGTCTTTACTGTACCAAGCTTGTTTAAATTCGCATGCATGTTTAGTCTGTGCGGTTTCGAGTTCTTTAGTTTCTGTCCAGTGAAGTGTAAATATACACACTAACATTGTACTGTCTTGCACGAAAATACTGTAAAATACAGGCAAACAAGGTTTGAAAATATTTTGCAAACTGAACATCAAGATCGGAAATAAAAGTTTGTCCCAGCAACCAACAAATGAAGCAGTAGTCTTTCAGGAAGGTCACAGATAGATATATACCGCTTTGAATATAAGAACATATATATAGCCAAATTGACCAACAATAACGAAACCCAAATTAGCCTACAAAGCAAAACAACAAAACGCAAAGCACCCAAACAAAACCATCAATAATACGTAGTACCGACGAAACAAGCCTTATAAAGCCTTTTCATGTATTCAATTGTATATGGATATAATGATATATAAATCCAAGCGTAAGGATAACTCAAAGTCTACGAAGCAAGACAACAAAATAAAAATAATGAAGCGAATTAGCAATACAACTACAACATGACAAGATATTCCAGAGATACTAACAATCAAAGCTGAGACAGATATAAGAGCTAGGTTATCCCAACAAGAAAAGTAAATGCCAAAGACTAAGCCTTTGCATTGCGATTTTACTGAAAATAAAGATAATTATCGAATATAAAGATTCAAGACACATTCTCACCAAATACAAGTGAATTAAATCTCAGCACAAGTCTACGGAGCAAGAAAACAAAATAAAAATATTGAATCGCAATAGCAATACAACACGAGAAGACGTTCCAGAGATACTAACAATCAAAGCTGAGACAGATATAAGACATAGGTTATCCCTACAAGAAAACTAAATGCCGAAGACTAAGCGTTTGCATTGCGATTTTACTGACCATAAAGCTAATACAAACGAATTAAATTCCAGCACAAAGATAACTCAAAGTCTACGAGGCAAGACAACAAAATAAGAATAATGAATCGCAATAGAAATAATTCATGAGAAGACAGATATAAGAGATATGTTTTCCAAACAAGAAAACTAAATGGCAAAGAAAGAAACGACATAAAGAGGATAGTGCTCTGCGAGAAAAATAGAAGAGCTTAATAGGAACTAAAGGACACGAGGAGAATCATGAAGCATAAAGATAATACAAACGAATTAAATACCAGCACAAAGATAACTCAAAGTCTACGAGGCAAGACAACAAAATAAGAATAATGAATCGCAATAGAAATAGAACATGAGAAGACAATCCAGAGATACTAACAAAAAAAAACAGAGACACATATAAGACATATGTTTTCCAAACAAGAAAACTAAATGGCAAAGAAAAAAACGACATAAAGAGGATAGTGCTCTGCGAGGACAAATAGAAGAGCTGAATAGGAACTAAAGGACACAAGGAGAATCATCAAGAAATAAAAAGAATATTGACATATGGATGTGTTATATACAAGAATGGTTTTAATTATTCAAGAATAAGTAAATCATCACATAGAGCGTAACGAAGGATTAAAGTACAATGGAACATGGAGAATTGCTTTTGTATATTGGAGCTTTATTTACAACTTGAAGCTGGAAAGGAATCCTCACAATTTTGGCTAAACTGCTATAGATAACATGCTCGTCTTAACTAGCAGATAGAAAAAGCTTTACAGAAGGATGAAGAGCTTATCAGAAGAAAGGACAAAAATAGTGCATGTTTGACATTGCCTGTTAGGTTTTTATAATTACTATTTTCGTTATATATAACCGTACGTCCTGTGTCCCAAGTGCAGGAGTCACCATTGCACTGTGGTGATAGCCGGAGAGTACGTTGTATATACACCTTGCATATATATATATATATATATATATATAGGAGTGTATAAAAACTTTTGTCTACTGTACCAAGCTTGTTTAAATTCGCATGCATGTTTAGTCTGTGCGGTTTCGAGTTCTTTAGTTTCTGTCCAGTGAAGTGTAAATATACACACTAACATTGTACTGTCTTGCACGAAAATACTGTAAAATACAGGCAAACAAGGTTTGAAAATATTTTGCAAACTGAACATCAAGATCGGAAATAAAAGTTTGTCCCAGCCAGTGGCGGATCTAGGGTACCTCAAGACCCTCACGCGAGGTACATAAAATTTTCAAAGAATTACGTAATAATTGAGATCATAGGTTTTAGTCCAGTTAACTGAGTTAAGTTACTATTTGCGATCAGCGTTCAGTATCTGATCGCAAAATACTCAAATCTGATTCCAGTTTTTATAGTTTGCTTTTTGAAGCAAAGCGATTTTTTTGAGGTACTTGTCAGCGGCTACTGAGGTACCCAAGCTTGAATGAGCATTTTGATTGGCTAAAACTTGCAGTTACCATAGTTTCTGAGGGACTTGAGGAAATTTTGAGGTACCAAGGAAAATTTTGAGGCATAAGGAGAATATTTTGAGGCACTAGCTGGTTTTTGACCTTGAACTTTGTTTGGAATAATGTCTATGATTGGTTACGATGTTCCATGTTTATTCTAACAGTGCATTTTATTGGTGCATTTTATCAACTCCCTCAAGTACAGCAAGCGTACCTCACTATTTTCGACTTTCGACTTTCGAGATACTAGTATCGTTAACATTTACCGCACGCAATTTCTTCTGAAAATGGATAGAGATTGTTTTCTAGAAGCCCAAGAGGCAATGAACAGCAACAACAAAGAAGCTCTGTTGCTTCTGTACAACGAGCTACGCGGGCAGTTGAATTCAAAGCCAAGATGTTCATCTTACTTGCTTCGATCAAAACTGGGCAATTCACTGTACCGGCATATTGTCGCTGAGACATATATTCCAAGCAGTATGAAATCGCAGGGAAAGATCTACACTGCAATCAGGTAACGATGTGTTGATATGGCTGTTCAATTTAGCTTTTATTCTACTTCTGTCCGATTACGATGCTTTATCTGAATTTTTATAAGCTTGTCAATATCTGATGTTTTGTAATTCTTATATTTTGCATTACTTGCCAGTGCAGAAATCCTTCGTTTACCAATCGAAGTTTGTATTTTATTCGAATAATTAAATAAGCGAATAATAACTTATAAATTTAACTGAAATACTGGTATACTATTTATGTAAGGAAAATTAAGAATCTGAATGAATAACTTTATATGGCAATGTTACATGTGCTTAGCTGTTTTTAAATACGTAATATAACATTATTGGATGTTTAATATTTAAAGTTACGCTGTTTAGTACAACACAAAAGAAATTTAAACTAAAGAGGGATTATTTTGAACCTTGTAGATCTCAAGCATCAGGGAATTGTTTTTACAGCTCAGTATCTTTGCTGCTTGTAGGAGACAACAGCTTAGTAAGTATTTTAAGAATACTGACTTCCCTTGAGCTATACCTTCATTGTGATTTTTACAATAAACATCCTGCATTTTCTTTGGCAGTGACTGAGCACCATGACCTTAGTCTTGTTAATCTTTTGCCATTATCAGTATCGGCCTCATGTTTAGATTCCGGCTTAAAGAATGAGGATTAATTAAGCAAGAAGCTATTTTAAATTGTTATGATGGTACCTGGTCACCTTTCTTGTGTATTCTGGGCTTATCATCAGTTATTGGTAATGAAATATTTACTTATTATCCAGATTGTGGGGACATAAGACCCAAATTACTTTTTAATAGACATGTAAACCCTCGCTAGGCAAATGAAGCAATTGTGAAGGATGTTGCTGTTCACATATTATTCTGCTATGAAGGCAAGGTTAAGTCTGGCGAGAGCTTTTTGCCAAACCATTATGTTCCTCTTCTTTGCTCAACAAAAAATGAAAAACATAAAATGTGTAACAAAAGCAAAGCATCCTGACAACTCTTCTCTACAAGAACACCAAGATATTAAGCGATTCTTCCAGCTGTCTTGCATTGATAAACCTTCTAACAGTAATTTTAAAACTGATAAGTCTAGCCTTAGCACCTTATGTATTGACAAGTCTTCTTCTCTTGATGCAACTTGCTACAAAAAACCCCCTTCTGATAAAATAGTGTCATTTAGTGAGGCTTCTTCTCTTGTTGACTGTCATATTCCCTTAATTTTGATGTTGCAACTTTCAGAGAAAAAGAAAAGGCATGAGCGATGGGGAAATTTACAATCTCATAGTAAATGTTTATAGACCAGATGAAAATTTTGAATTCCCAAAAACGAATGGAAGATCTTTTCGTTATGATTGGTTAGAAAGGTATGAATGGTTATGTTATTCTCCATCCTTGGATGGGGTTTTGTTTGCCATGTGTCCTTTTGGTGATAATTTTAAAGATAAGGCCTCAAAATTTCCAACCTATTCTCTCAGCCACTTCGTTGGACAGATGCATCCAAAATGCTAAAACGTCATGATGGCAAAGAGAGTGATGGCAAAATGAGTTTTCATGGTTTGAATGGTTTGCATGCTTCTACTTTTCCAGTTTATTCTGCCTTCAAATCTAACATGTCTGGTAAAACAAAAGGCATTAATGTTATTATTGATTCTAAGGTTAAGAAAGAAGTTGAAGGTAACCGGCTAAATTAAGTTCAATTACCGATACGGTCTTAACATGTGGTCGTTTGGGCTTAGCCTTTAGAGGTCATCGTGATGATGGGCACTATCATCCTGAAACTGGTAATTTTTCTGCAGGTGGTGTTGGGAATTTTGTTGAACTTCTTAATTTTAGAGTGCGTGCTGGGGACAAGGTGTTAGAGGACCATCTGAATTCATGTGGTAGGAATCAGACGTATATTTCTAAAACTTCCCAGAACAAGCTTATTAAATGCTGTGGTGAAGTAATAACAGATAAAATCATTTCTGACTTAAAAGCAAGCAGGTTCTACTCTGTAATTGCTGATGAGGCTCGAGACATCTCAAATACTGAACAGATGTCTCTTGTTTTGCATTTTATCGACCAAAATATGGATATTAGGGAGGAGTTTGTTGGATTTCTTCCTTGTAAATGGGGCTTAAAAGGTGAGCAGCTTGCTAAGGTTGTTCTTGATGCTTTAGGCAACCTTGGTCTTTCTATTGCTGATTGTAGAGGACAGGGATATGATGGGGCAGGTGCTGTTGCTGGTCATATTAATGGGATGGCTGCTCATTTGCGTCGTTTGAATGATAAGGCTCTTTTTACCCATTGCTACAGCCACAGATTAAATTTAGCGATTTGTGAGTCTATTAATATAATGGATGTAAAATCGATGCTCAATAGAGTTAAAAAAGTTTCTGATTTTTTTAATATTTCCCTACACGACAAATACCTTTAGAAAAGAATATTGACCTTCATGGTTCTTTATCAGCCGGTAGGAAAAAGAAATTAATAGATGTGTGTCGAACTAGGTGGGTTGAGAGAATCGACGGCTTAGATACTTTCCAGCAGCTTCTTATTCCTGTGTTTAAAACGTTGAGAGAAATGAAGAAAAATGTAGATAAAGATCACAGTCTCAATGTTTCTTCGGATGCCTCTGAACTTCTTGATCTTTTGGAAAAGTTTGATTTTGTTGTTGCCCTGGTTATTTGTAGAAATGTGTTTGATTCTACAATTGGTGTTACTCAGCTTCTTCAAGGGAAGAGTATTGACATGGATGGTTTACATCTTATTACATCGTTGAAAACTTTTGTTGTTAATGTTAGGAATTCCATTGATAAGTATCACGATACATGGTATGAAGAGTCTCTCGCACTGGCTCGAGAATTAGATATTGATGAAGCAAAGCCAAGGACAGTGGGAAGACAGACAACACGAGCTAATGTCCCCTATAAAACTACATCTGAGTACTATAAAAGAATTTTTTCTATTCCACTTGTTGACCACCTAAACTCTGCGTTGAAAGCTCGTTTCAATACTGATAGCGTTAATGTGTACAATGGGCTTAGCATTGTACCATATAAAATGATTTCTCTTCTTAACAATGGCATGAATTGGAAAGAAAAATTCAAAGTTGTTTCCAATTTTATCACGATGACCTACCCAATCCATTGGCTTTGGACTCAGAGATTTTGCTTTGGGAAACTTATTGGGTTGATTACGAAGGAACCATTCCAGACTCAATTTCAGCAACTTTAAAAGCTTTAAAATTTGAAGGCTTTGAAAACATCAAAATTATTCTTCGTATTCTTGGAACCCTTACTATCACATCTTGCGAATGCGAACGCTCTTTCTCAGTTTTGCGCGAACTGAAAAATTATAAGCGAAGTACGATGGTTTCAGAGCGTCTAAACGGTTTGGCCATGATGAGAGTTCATCAAGAAATTGTGCCCGAAACGTCAGAAGTTATCGACAGATTTGCTATGGATAACACAAGATTAAAGTTCGTATAGTCATTATTAACAACAATCAAACATCAAACATGAAAACAAGAAACTTAAAATAATAGCACCATTGAGGCAAAGTTTTGCAACCATTTAACTAAATGGCAGTCAAGTTGACTGTCCATGTCTGGCTGCTTTTTAGAAGCATGCCTAGGCATGCTGATGAGCTCTGATATTGAGCGAAACAGTCAGAATTATTGATTGTATTAAGTGCTTCTTTAATCCGGAATCCTTTTTTTGCCACTGCTTCTTTTAAGCGCCGCCCCCTGTTACCGCGCTGCTCTTACGATCAAAAAAAGTTACAGCGCTGCGGCGCTAAAACGAGCACTCATAGTAATGCTACGTTGAGGGAGGTAAACGATTGGCCTGTATCCGCCACTGGTCCCAGCAACCAACAAATGAAGCAGTAGTCTTTCAGGAAGGTCACAGATAGATATATACCGCTTTGAATATAAGAACATATATATAGCCAAATTGACCAACAATAACGAAATCCAAATTAGCCTACAAAACAAAACAACAAAACGCAAAGCACCCAAACAAAACCATCAATAATACGTAGTACCGACGAAACAAGCCTTATAAAGCCTTTTCATGTATTCAATTGTACATGGATATAATGATATATAAATCCCAGCGTAAGGATAACTCAAAGTCTACGAAGCAAGACAACAAAATAAAAATAATGAAGCGAATTAGCAATACAACTACAACATGACAAGATATTCCAGAGATACTAACAATCAAAGCTGAGACAGATATAAGAGCTAGGTTATCCCAACAAGTAAAGTAAATGCCAAAGACTAAGCATTTGCATTGCGATTTTACTGAAAATAAAGATAATTATCGAATATAAAGATTCAAGACACATTCTCACCAAATACAAGTGAATTAAATCTCAGCACAAGTCTACGGAGCTTGAAAACAAAATAAGAATATTGAATCGCAATAGCAATACAACACGAGAAGACGTTCCAGAGATACTAACAATCAAAGCTGAGACAGATATAAGACATAGGTTATCCCTACAAGAAAACTAAATGCCGAAGACTAAGCGTTTGCATTGCGATTTTACTGACCATAAAGCTAATACAAACGAATTAAATCCCAGCACAAAGATAACTCAAAGTCTACGAGGCAAGACAACAAAATAAGAATAATGAATCGCAATAGAAATACAACATGAGAAGACAGATATAAGAGATATGTTTTCCAAACAAGAAAACTAAATGGCAAAGAAAGAAACGACATAAAGAGGATAGTGCTCTGCGAGGAAAAATAGAAGAGCTTAATAGGAACTAAAGGACACGAGGAGAATCATGAAGCATAAAGCTAATACAAACGAATTAAATACAAGCACAAAGATAACTCAAAGTCTACGAGGCAAGACAACAAAATAAGAATAATGAATCGCAATAGAAATACAACATGAGAAGACAATCCAGAGATACTAACAAAAAAAACAGAGACACATATAAGACATATGTTTTCCAAACAAGAAAACTAAATGGCAAAGAAAAAAACGACATAAAGAGGATAGTGCTCTGCGAGGACAAATAGAAGAGCTGAATAGGAACTAAAGGACACGAGGAGAATCATCAAGAAATGAAAAGAATATTGACATATGGATGTGCTTTATACAAGAATGGTTTTAATTATTCAAAAATAAGTAAATCATCACATAGAGCGTAACGAAGGATTAAAGTACAATGGAACATGGACAATTGCTTTTGTATATTGGAGCTTTATTTACAACTTGAAGCTGGAAAGGAATCCTCACAATTTTGGCTAAACTGCTATAGATAACATGCTCGTCTTAATTAGCAGATAGAAAAAGCTTTACAGAAGGATGAAGAGCTTATCAGAAGAAAGGACAAAAATAGTGCACGTTTGACATTGCCTGTTAGGTTTTTATAATTACTATTTTCGTTATATATAACCGTACGTCCTCTGTCCCAAGTGCAGGAGTCACCATTGCACTGTGGTGATAGCCGGGAGAGTACGTTGTATATACACCTTGCATATATATATATATATATATATAGAGTGTATAAAAAATTTTGTCTTTACTGTACCAAGCTTGTTTCAATTCGCATGCATGTTTAGTCTGTGCGGTTTCGAGTTCTTTAGTTTCTGTCCAGTGAAGTGTAAATATACACACTAACATTGTACTGTCTTCCACGAAAATACTGTAAAATACAGGCAAACAAGGTTTGAAAATATTTTGCAAACTGAACATCAAGATCGGAAATAAACGTTTGTCCCAGCAACCAACAAATGAAGCAGTAGTCTTTCAGGAAGGTCACAGATAGATATATACCGCTTTGAATATAAGAACATATATATAGCCAAATTGACCAACAATAACGAAATCCAAATTAGCCTACAAAACAAAACAACAAAACGCAAAGCACCCAAACAAAACCATCAATAATACGTAGTACCGACGAAACAAGCCTTATAAAGCCTTTTCATGTATTCAATTGTACATGGATATAATGATATATAAATCCCAGCGTAAGGATAACTCAAAGTCTACGAAGCAAGACAACAAAATAAAAATAATGAAGCGAATTAGCAATACAACTACAACATGACAAGATATTCCAGAGATACTAACAATCAAAGCTGAGACAGATATAAGAGCTAGGTTATCCCAACAAGTAAAGTAAATGCCAAAGACTAAGCATTTGCATTGCGATTTTACTGAAAATAAAGATAATTATCGAATATAAAGATTCAAGACACATTCTCACCAAATACAAGTGAATTAAATCTCAGCACAAGTCTACGGAGCAAGAAAACAAAATAAGAATATTGAATCGCAATAGCAATACAACACGAGAAGGCGTTCCAGAGACACTAACAATCAAACCTGAGACAGATATAAGACATAGGTTTTCCAAACACGAAAACTAAATGGCAAAGAAACAAACGACATAAAGAGGATAGTGCTCTGCGAGGACAAATAGAAGAGCTGAATAGGAACTAAAGGACACGAGGAGAATCATCAAGAAATGAAACGAATATTGACTTATGGATGTGTTATATACTAGAATGGTTTTACTTATTCAAGAATAAGTAAATCATCACATAGCGCGTAACGAAGGATTAAAGTACAATGGAACATGGACAATTGCTTTTGTATATTGGAGCTTTATTTACAACTTGAAGCCGGAAAGAAATCCTCGACTCCTTTAATATAAACTCACAATTTTGGCTAAACTGCTATAGATAACATGCTCGTCTTAATTAGCAGATAGAAAAAGCTTTACAGAAGGATGAAGAGCTTATCCGAAAAAAGGACAAAAATAGTGTATGTTTGACATTGCCTGTTAGATTTTATAATTAATATTTTCGTTATATATAACCGTACGTCCTGTGTCCCAAGTGCAGGAGTCACCATTGCACTGTGGTGATAGCCGGGAGAGTACGTTGTATATACACCTTGCATATATATATATATATATATATAGAGTGTATAAAAAATTTTGTCTTTACTGTACCAAGCTTGTTTCAATTCGCATGCATGTTTAGTCTGTGCGGTTTCGAGTTCTTTAGTTTCTGTCCAGTGAAGTGTAAATATACACACTAACATTGTACTGTCTTCCACGAAAATACTGTAAAATACAGGCAAACAAGGTTTGAAAATATTTTGCAAACTGAACATCAAGATCGGAAATAAACGTTTGTCCCAGCAACCAACAAATGAAGCAGTAGTCTTTCAGGAAGGTCACAGATAGATATATACCGCTTTGAATATAAGAACATATATATAGCCAAATTGACCAACAATAACGAAACCCAAATTAGCCTACAAAACAAAACAACAAAACGCAAAGCACCCAAACAAAACCATCAATAATACGTAGTACCGACGAAACAAGCCTTATAAAGCCTTTTCATGTATTCAATTGTATATGGATATAATGATATAAAAATCCCAGATGATTATAGATGTATAACACGAAAATAGCGATCAATATTAATAAAGTTGGCTTAAGGATGTCATTTAATGTAAACATAAGTTGAAATTAAACAGTTCCCGATTAAAAATAATCGGGAACTATATCCTTCGATTAAAATAAATATATATCCTTCCCGATTTAAAATAATCTACACATTATCCTCAATAACGAACTATACACATTGCTGCCATTAGCCATTAGTTATGACTTGTTTCTTTCTTGTAAAATCGCTATTAAATCAGCGAAATATAACAAATAATAATAATAATATAATAATAATAATAACTATAATAATAATAATAATAACTATAATAATAATAATAATAATAATAATAGTAATAACAATAATAAAAAGAATAAAATAAACTACTATTTGACAGTTGTGCACAGTTAACTAGAAGCTTTCCCAGGTTTAAAAATAAATTAATTGATTGTTTAAACATGATAATACGAGGAGTTTTCAAATGAGATGGATAGTTGTAGCTTTTTAGTTACTCGGAGTTGACTGAAGCAGCCGTCAAATAATAATTTTGTTGTGTTAGTACTATTTCAAAGTATTGACACTTCATAATGACAGCTCCGGTTTGTGTATGTTAGTTTCGATAGAAACAGCTAAGTTGATGCATTATTGCAAGAACTTGTGATTTTGTCTTTGTAATGTCTGCTCATTTAAATAGTGGTATAGCATTGTTGTTAAAAAATAACATTTTCCTTTTCATTTCCTGCTTGGCTCGCAGGCTGATTCTGTTGAATAAACCTGCATCTTAAGTTCACCTGTTGTTTTTAGAAAAGTTCACAAAAAGTTCACAAACTTTTAATGTTCATGAAATGTTCATGAAGAGAGCATAAAATTCACAAATCTGATAACTTTGTTCACGATCTGGCAACACTGAATGCACAATGCTAAAAGAACATTTAACATAACATTTCTTGACTAACAGAAACATAACTGCACGTATAATAAGCAGAGTGCATGTAGACTCCACAATTGTAAAGTTAACTGAAAGTTAAATTTTTAATTATAAATGTAAAGGCATGGCAGTAGGATTCACAAGAACATTTCAACCCTTTGACCTTTGTTGGCTTGCCAGCATAATGAGAAGAACTGACAAAATAAACACAAAGTAGTTTGCTGAGCTCTTGTTGATGAATGATCAAGGTTAAAAATATGTTTAGGTAAAAGCACAATTGAAATAAGCTGAATATATAAAACAAACTTTTTTTATTACAGACATGTTTCGGCAATCTTATGCCATCATCAGTGCAAATATGTTACAAAATGTGATACTTAAATATATAAATAGAGATAAATGACTTACAGTTGACTTACAGTGGTTATTTCTAAATATAAAGGTTCTGATACATTGAGCCAAAGTTGATTTAAAGTTCTTCTGGTATATAAGGCGAACAATTGAATTCTTCAACAAGGCTCCCTTGTATAGGATAACCTCCAGTACCATTTTCAATACCGCTCTCTTGTATGGGATAAACTCCAGTACCATTTCCTATTTCCACTGTCACTTCTCCAAGACTTTCTTGGAAGACCGTCTTGCCCAGTCTCTTTCTTGGATTGGCAATCGAAGTACACACCTCTCATCATGTTCAGTGGCTTGATTTTCTGAGACATTCTGCATTTCGTTGTAATGAGTGTCCATCGATCGTAGGGTAGATGGCTCTGTATTGTCATTATGTATGTCAGCACTGCATGAATTGGACGATGACTCGTGAGAGGAAAAATTGCTTGATGATTGAAATTGAGAATACTCGGAGTCGTTATTAGATGATACCAAATTGGATGACTGGGGCTGGGAAGACTCAGAAAACTCGTTCTCAGGAGAATCACTATCAGGCAAGTCCACGTTCGATGATTGGTCTTCAGAAGACTCAGAAAACTCACTGTCCGAGGAGTTTTCATCAGACGAGTCCTCATCAGAGGATTCTGTAAGAGATGAATGATCTGTGATTCGCTTTCACAGGATGCCACATCAGATGGTTCGCAGCCCAAATATTCTCCATCGTATGATTCGCTGTAGGAATATTTATAATAATATGATTTGATGTTGGAGGATTTATTATCTGATAATTTCCATCTGATTATTTCCATCTGATAATTTTCCATCTGAGATTTCACTATCTGATGATTTACTAGAAGAGGATTCACCATCTGATAATTCACCATCTGAGATTTCTCCATTTGATGATTCGCCAAATAATGATTCACAATCTGATGATTCACCATCTGATGATTTACCATCTGATGATTTACCATTAGATGATTCGCCATCTGATGATTCATCATCTGAGGATTCACCATTTGATGATTCACAATCTGACGATTTGCCATCTGATGATTCACAATCTGATGATTCACAATCAGATGATCCACGAACTGAGGATTCACCATCTGATGTTTCACCATATGAGAATCCTCCATCTGATGATTCCTCAATGGAGGATTCGCCATCAGATGACTCATTGTAGGAGGAGGACTGTCCATTGTATGATTTTCTGCAGGAAAATTAACCATTAGTTGATTCGCTGTCGTACGATTCATCATTAGATGATTTGATGGTGGAGATTTCATTGGCTGATGATTTGCTAGCGGAGAAAACACTATTTGATGATTCTCGGTAAGAAAATTTACCATAAGGTGATTCGCTTTCACAGGATACACACATCAAATGATTCGCAGCCCGAATACTCTCCATCGTATGATTCGCTGTAGGAATATTCATAATAAGATGATTCGATGTTGGAGGATTCACTATCTGATGATTTACTAGAAGAGGATTGATCATCTGATAATTCGCCAACTGATAATTCTCCATTTGATGATTCACAATCAGATGATTAAGCATCTGATGATTCACAATCAGAGGATTCACCATCTGATGATTCACAATCAGATGATACACCATCTGAGGATTTGCCTTTCTAATTATTGTCTTTCTTGGACGTTGGTATTCTCGACATTCTCTATTTTGTCCTTAGAGATATGAACTTCTCAGGATATAACTTGTTATAGCGTTGTGATACTTTACATTGCTGAATTGTTAGTATACATATACATAGCACTGTATAAAATACATAGTCTATGATGATTTACTATTAATATTTCATAAATATTTGATTTGTTTTTACTACTGTTCTCATTTCTCATTTCAGGGACTTGTGGCTGAAATTCTGTGAATGTGCACTCACTGTTACACTGTATCTGATGGCACTATTTCGTTTATTTTGATTTGTTCACTGTGAATTTTACCATGTGTCTCTTGGTTAGAGTTTATGTACATCTCATCATGGTTCCATTGGTTCAATGTTAATGTATTCCCTGTGTGTCTCATCATGGTTCTACTGGTTAATGTTCATGTATTCTTATATCTCATCATGGTTCTACTGGTTGATATTTGTGTACTGACTGTATGTTTCTCATAAGAACTGAAAGGTATGATATATAGATATACATCATGTAAATCTACACTAGTTAAACTAGCATTAAAACTTCAGAATAGCTTTACACATTTTTAAGCAAAATTGGGTTTAAACTTTGAAACATCAAAGTCTTTTGGAAATAAAAAGGCTGTCTTCAAGTAGAGGCCCCCTGCTGTCAAAATTTGACATCTAATTACCATAAATGCTTGTTTTTGCTTGTACCCTGAGTGCAGCAGTCAAATGGGAGCCATGCTAAAGGTATGACATGCAAATGAAGCTGCACCTATTTTAAGGGTCAAGTTCACACAATGCTCTTATGAATCGTATGAAAAAGTTTGAAAGGTAATATATTTTTCTCTACTGAAAGTGATGATTGTAAAAATTCAAATGCAAGTGCAACAGTGTTAAACTTGGTCAGCTAATTTATAGGACTTCAAATAAGAGACTACAAACAGTGCAGACACAACACCAATCTCGAATGAAACTCTGAGTTGAACACATCATGTAAACTGAGTCAACCATTTGAGTTTCATACCCGCATCATGTGACCAGGTCTTTGTGTGCTCATTTTAAAAAGTTTTCTTACCGGAAGAAGTCTCTATTTTCAAACTTTGTGTTTTAGGATTTCTTCCTCTGTAAAGCAAATAAAAATAGTACTGCGTTCATTTAGAGTAATTGTTGCCTATTACTTTTATTTGTATTTTGTAGAATATTTATTGATAGTAGACATTTCAGTACACCAAATACTGTTATGAACAAACATAAATAGCATAAAAATTCTAGATCAAATTAACCATGCAATACTGTCAATCAAAACATCAACTTTTAGCCTTTATAAACCCATACACGGTATATAGAAGAAAGAAGACCATTAAGAATTGACGAAGTGTTAAGCTTTTAATTCCTGATGAGTATGCTTCTCCAACTGATGCATTATTGATTATTGAACTGTTTTTTGCTGTTCGAAGTTAGTAATAAATTCCCAGGAGCAGAAAAGCTTTTGTGCTAATAACAAAGATTTATAATATGAGCATGTATCTGACAATATTTTATGTGCTTGCAGACTTAGTATGGTAATAGGCATTGAAATTATACCATACATGAATTTCCAAAGTTATTTTTTATACACCCTGCATAAATACAGTAGTTAACTAGTATATATATATATATCATCGCAGGCTCAAGTTTTTTTATTATAAAATGTATTATGTCTAAAAATAGTCATAATACATCTTATAATAAAAAAAACCGGGGGGATCGTTTTTGAGGCAGTCAGCGGTAGTAAACATAAAAATAGAGAAGGGTGAGCCTGTGATAATATACATATATATATTAGAATAGTGGAGAAGAGTAATATAAAATATATAAAATAATAAAATATATAAAATATATAAAATATATAAAATATATAAACAAGAAGATTTTATAAAAAGATATATATTTCAAATACAATACAAAATAATTACATTGATGAAAGTCCAAAGTCAATTTTTAAAAATGATTAATATGGAAAGTCCAAAGTCCAATTTAGTAATACAAATTGTCACGCTTCAATGATTCATCCACATTAAAGAAACGATAAAAGGACTAAAAATGATGATAAACAAGTAAGTGTCATAATGTTAATAAATATTAAATATTAAAATATGCTTACCAAAAATTGGAATAAATTTAATCACAAACACCAATATTAACAGGTCTGAACTAAACGTTGTTGCTTTATGAAGACAGAAAAAAATCCAATATGAAGAAGACCTGTCATAAACAAGTATTGACCATCATATTTCCAAAAAAATTTCACATCTCGAATAATTGAATTAATTCTACTTTTGAAAGACATCTTCTCTCTTTGAGTGACTGAATAATTATGATACAAGTGGATATATATATAAGTGTATAAAGATAGAGATAATTGTAAAAAAATGAAATTTATTGTAAAAATTGAAAAAAGTTTGAAGGAAATTGAAAAAAATAAATTTAGAAATGGAAAAAAATGGAAAAAATTGCAAAAAAATTTTAATAAGAAAAAACAATTTATTACATGTTTTTACAATTTAAAATGTTATATTAAAAAGTTTTTAAAATAAACCACTAGATTCACCAAATGACGGGGTTTTTCCTCTTTTAATAAATGATCCCATGGGTACACCACCAAATCTTGATTGAAAAGATGCATCAAATGCTAATGGATTTTCCTCCTTACTAAGTAAATCAAATGATTTTTTAGCAGTAGATTTTCCAATCCAGTAGGTGTAACAAATGTTGATTTTTTAGTTTTATTATTTTCATCAACATTGTTATTTTTTTCTAGTACATTAATTTTATCAAGTAATTTCAAATGTAATAAAACATTTTCTTCCTCAATTTTTGTAATCATATCTTTTATTTCTTTAATTTCTTTTTGCACTAAGATGTTTGTTGTTTTTATAAATAAAGATATTTCTTGTAGTCTTGTTTTATATCCTTAATTCATTTTTTTTTTTTTTGTATTTTCTTTCTGTAATACAACAAAAGTTGGATTACAAATGAATATATTCTCATTTGAGTTTTGTTAATATCATATCTTACCTTTGTATAATTTCTTTCTTTATGAATAAATTAACTTCTTTCAATTTTTTTGTAATTCTTTCTTTTCTTTACAGCAAGTATATGTATGATAAAAAATACAATCTGATGGGTATACTGGTAATGATGCGTTATTTAAAAGCTTTTGAGATCTTTGACATTTTTTACAATAAAAACAATATTTATAAAATAATTTTTTATATCTTTCATTTTCAAGAAAATTATCACTTTTATTTTGAAGAAAATTATCACTTTTATTCTCCATTCAAAAATTCAAATTTCTTACAAAAAAGAAAAATAGAATAATGTGTTTTTTTTTCTTTTTATTTCTTTAAGTTCTTTCTTAATATATCTTTTATTTTCCCTCTTTTTTTTTTCTTCTTCTTTTATCGATTGAATTTCTTCTTCAATTTTTCTTTTTAATTCTTTTTGTCTTTACAGCAAACGTTTGCATGATAATCAATACTTTCTGCTCCAGTTGATGTTGGTAAATTTTTCAAACTCAAATAAATTTCGTAATGAAAACATATTTTGCAATAATAGCAATATTTATAAAACAATTTTCTGTATTCTGTATTGATTTTGCTTGTATGGTATGTTTTATATGACATTTAAGTTTTTTCTTTCTTTCCTTCTTCAATAAAACTAATTTCTTCCTCAATTTTTTTTATTTCTTCTTTTTCTTTACAGCAAACATACAAATGATGAAAAACACAATGTGTTGGATTTTTTGGTAATGAAGCACTATATAAAGCCTCCATTTGATATCTTTGACATTCTTTACAATAAAAGCAATATTTGTAAAATAATTTTCTATATCTTTCATTTGCAATACTAATTTTATTTTTATCCATTTTTCCAAAATAAATCACCTATTCTCCACTAAATGTTAGTATGAAAATGAATAAAGTTTACAATTTAATGAGGTTACAATAAACTATCATGTTTTTTTTAATTTCTATTTCTTTCTTGTATGCTTTTTTATTTTTTTTCCTTCTTTCTTTTCTTTTCGATAAATTCAATTTTTTTCAATTTTTTCTTTAATTTTTCGTTTCCTTCACAACAAAACTCTGCGTGATGTTTGATAGAATCTTCAGTTGTTAATGGCGCACGTCCATAACACAATAATTTAATATTATGAGTTTGACAAAATGAACAATTAAAACTATATTTATAATCTAATTTGATGTAGAGCTTAAAGATGTGATCATAGGGTATAGTTATTTTACTTATTTCTCTATTAGAATTTAGTTTCTTTATATTTTCATCAACTATTTCTAGTTTCTTTGCAAAATATTCTTTTTCTTCTTTGTTTTCTCTGCAGCAATTGTCAGCATGAAAATGAATACGTTGTAATTGACTTGAAATGAGTATAAATTATGATGAATTTTATATTTTGACACGTTTTACAAGAAAAGCAATAATTATAAAATAGATCTCTATATATTGCATTTATGTTAGCAATAGACATTTTTTACTTAAGTTTTTATAACCTGTCTATTAGTAATGAATACTAATACAATACTATTAGCAAAAACTATCTATATTTTTTTTCTCTTTTAAAAAATACTACAGACTTTATATAGTTTTGTAATAATATAAAGTGTTTTTTCTTTTCCATTTTTAAATTCTTTTTGAATTTTTTTATTTATTTTTTTTCGTATTCAATATGATTTATATGGTAATAATAAATTCATTAAAAGATAATTCACTTATATATTTATAATTATTTGGTAAAAGTATATATATATACATTTACTACAGTTAAATTCAGTTAAAATTCATAAATTTTACCTATTTCACTTTTACCCATTTTATTTTAAGTGTGTTCTCTTAACTCTATTGATATAATATGGAACAAAATTTAAAAGAGCACAAACATATCTTTCTGAATGGGAAAAATACCTGAAAAAAAGAAAGATTTTCTAAAAGATATGCTTGTTTGTAATGAGAAATTGGTTTCTTCTATTCATGATTATATTCGAATTATTAGATATATTTTGAAGAATGAACAATTGTACAATGATTTAAGAAATACACCATGGTATAATGAAGAAAAAAACGAAGAGCTGGTTTTTGACTTGAATAAATATGAAGAAAATGAACACGATTTGTTTTTAAAGAAAAACGTAGATAACGAAGTATTTATTTATTTGGTTGGTTGCTGTTATAAACATTTGTTGTGAAATTTACTATTCAATCATATCAATAGTATCGTTGTATGAAGTTTTGGTTTGTATATTGTATATAAAGATATCAATGGCATCTATACCTCCTGAAACTTTGGAAAGAATAAATAAAGCTTACGAGGAAGAAGAAAGAGAGAGAAAAAAATTTTTAAAAAAAGTGGTGTTAGAAAATGAAGTTACTTTATGTTCATTAATTCATGGTTATATCGATTTGTTAAACGCTTTGTTAGTTTCTTCTGATTTATATAATGATTTAAAAAAATGGCATGGAGAGGATTTAAAATTCTCTAATATTGTTGGAAGTTATTCTCAAATGTATGTGAATACACTCAAGAAAAATGAAAAAATCAAATTTATCTACCTTTTGGTTTTTCTGATTCCACGTATAAAGATTAACGAACAAATGAAGACATGAACAAAAATGGATGAGAACTTTGTACTTGTAGACAGTGTTTTAACTAACGAATATTTTTATAGAATTTACCATAAAAATGATGAACAATATGATTATTTTAAAATATGTATGCAATCTATAGACGATAGTGGTGTATATAAAGAGAATGCATGGATTTGTAAACAAAAAAGACATGGTTTAAATACAGTGAAGGAATTATTAGAGAAGATAAAACTATTTTAAATATGGATAATGGTGAGAGTTTTGTGCGGTATATGAATAGATATTTTGATTTATCTCGTGAGACTAATCAATACTTTTTTGACGAATATTTTGAAGCTGTTAAAGAAAGAGAAAAAGATAAAAATTATAGCTGAAATATCGCTCGAAAATTATAGTAATCAAGTTCAAATCACAAATTACGTGTTGGAAAAAAATATTGCAGAACAAAAGATAAAGGATTTAGAAGAAAGACTTCGAATTGCTGAAGAAAAGAATAAAGATTTTGTGGAAAGACAAGAAACATTATTTCTAACTATTGAAGAAATGAAAATAGTAATTAAATCTTTATGTGAAAAAAAAAAATGAATTGCTTGATATAAATAAAAAATTGCTAAAAAAACTTGAAGACAAAGACGATGTCCTAGTAGTTGATTAATACATATATATACTCATAACTGTATTAAGAAGAAAATTTTATTATAATTTTTTATTTGAAATTGATGATGAATGTGAATAAACAACAATTTTATGGGGATTATATTTTATTTTTTGGTATACAAAAATCTCAAGAAGTGACTGCTTTAAAATTAGATGTTGAAAAATTGAATGTAGAGATTGAAACTCTTAACCACAAGATTAAAGAGCAAGATATTATTATAAAAGAAAAAGAAAAAGAAATTGATAGAAGAAGAAAGAAAAAAAATTATTGTATGAAAATGGAAAATAATCATGATGATAGTGATGTTATTTATAATTGTTTATTGTTTATATTATGTATTATTTTTATTATTTTAATTTTTGTTTGGGTGTTTATATAAAGAACAGTAAGAACAATAAGAACAATAAGAAAAATGGATGATTCCTACATTTGTCTTTTACTTATAACTGGTTGTATTTTTTTTAAATTGAACGAAATACATTCTATGAAAGTAGAATTTTTTAATAGCAGGTTAAAGATTTTGGAAGAAAATATCACGGAATTAAAGACTTTATTTGATGAACGTACTTGAACGTACATGATGATGATGATGATGGTGTTGATGTTATTTTTAATTTTTTTTGTCAACCTTTTTATTATTTTTATTATTTTTTTTGTTTGTGCGTTTAAATAAAGAGCAATAAGAACAATAAGAATGGAGAAATGGCTGAAGTGAAGGAAAATGAAAGGGTTAAATATATTGACTTTACTTCATTATATCCATGTTGGAAGAAAACATCAAGGAATTAAAGATTTTATTTGATGGAAGTCCTCGTAGATGAAATGATTATAACGTTTCTTGTGACATTATTATTTTTTCATTAATTTTTCGTGGTATATTTGTTATCACTGTTATATTATTGAAGAGGATTTATGAAAAGATAAAATACCAAGAAAAGAAAATTCTGGAGATACAGAAATTTATGAAAATACGTATTTGTTAGAAGAAGGAACTATCTGTATTGGTGGTGATGATGAATGGGAATAATTTAATTCATTGTTATTTTAATGGAATTTATTTGTTTCAATTCGACGAAAAATTTTAAAAATTTTTTCTAAAATTATATTGTTGACTTTTATCAAAGAATAACGAGTTGAAAATTACTGATCAAAAAAATTTATAATTTTATTTTAAAATATAAATCATATCTCAGAGACTATAATAATATTTATATAAATGAACAAAATATATAGAAAAAATATTGGTAAAGAATTATATTTTTTAAGGGACCATATATTAATATAACAAAATGGAATGGGATTAATGAAAAACATTTGTTGATAATTTTGTAAAAAATTTGTTGATTTTTGTAAAAATAAAAATTGTCGATTTTTGTAGGGTATATATTCATCTTATTTTTCATGTTTTGTATCATTTGATTTCATATACTTTCAAACAACACATCGATATAAGTTTTTTAAGGAAAAGATAAAACAAATGGCTCAAGAGTTTACCATTTATAAAAAACTTTTAGAGATTTGGTAACAGTTTTACAAAGTTATACTAATGGAAAAGCAATCATTGGAAATAAAGTTTGCAGTTTTAATCGTTTTAGTAAGTTATGCCTTTTTTCAAAATCTGTTTACTCTCCATACAATGATGGGTTGTGTTGTAAAGACGAATTGCAAATGAATTTGCAAGCATGTGAAAAATTAGCAAACGTGTTGAATAAAATTGCTAATAAAGATGAAGGTGAAGATTTGTATGAAGTTTTGTTTTCATCTAACGAAAACGTGTTATTTTGGAACGTGAATCAGGAAAACTTATTTTAAAACACAAAAATCATCTCGTACTGTTGATGAAAGTGTAACTATTTGTCTTGATGATGATAATGATGAGTGGGATGAATGTTTCAAACCAAGCGATCTAAATGATATTTCGATGATTGATTGGACGGATGAATTTTACAAAGTGTATTTCAGAAAAGATGACGACTTAAAATCTATATCACAAAATTGCGAGAATTTGTTGCATCTTGTCGTGATTTATTAAAAAGTGAAGAAGAGAAGAAAAACAAAGTAAAAAGGAGTTAAAGAAAAAAAAAAAAAAAAAAAGACAAAAACTGTACCAAGAAAAAAAAAAATGAATGAAAATGGAAATGATATTGAAAATGGTAATGACATTGAAATTGATAATGATATTGAAGCTATTTATATGTTGAAAGAGTTTTCTAATAAATTGGATATTTCAATATATGATTGCGTTGTTTATCATAGTGAAATTATGAATGAAATTTTAGAGGAAAAATGGGAAAGAAATATGATTTTGTAGAAATTTATAAAAATATGGAAATGATGAAATCGAAAGAATATATAATGACATTTTTCTTTCAGTGCTTGATTATCACCATCCTCTTCCAACGATTGTAAATGATGATGAGGAGAACGAAGAAGACTAATTTAATTAATGACGATTTTATAAAAAAGCCGCAAGATTATTAAAAGGTGAACATTTAGAAGATAATGAACAAAATATATATAATTTGTATCAAAAGAAAAGAAAAATATAATCGATTAAATATAAATATATGGAAAAAAATGATTTGTGGAGTATTGATTTAGCTGAAATGAAAGATTTGGCAAGATATAATGATAATTTGCGATATTTGTTATGTGTAGTCGATGTTTATTCAAGATATGCATTTGTTCGTTTA